AAGGAGCAAAAATACGTGTAGCGCCCAAACATTTCTGAATTCTGAATCTACCTTCCAAACAGAAAATCGCACAAGAGTGGATTCCTCTCCCAAAATTTCAGTTCCGAATTTGATAGTTTCTTCACCCAGACCAGGTACCTTCTTACCTTTGAATTTCCCATTTTACAAAGGAAAAAGAAAAAAAAACGCATTTGTACAAAAAGTTGTGTTGAGCGTTTTGGATGTGAAGAAAGGTGTGCATTTTATGTGTTAATTTAAGGGGTTCAAAAAGTTGTTGAAATTTGGGGAATTGAAGACTTTTGTGTTAGAAACTGGCTTTGGGAGTGTTGTTTTTGTCCCTGCCCTCTAAGTGTTTGATTAAATTCCTCAGTAAGCAAACTTTTTTTTTTTCCTTCATAGATTTCGAGTCAATCTTCCTGATTTGATTTACTCATGCCTTTTCGTTCAATTTAATTTTCTTTTTATTTCTCGATCACTTTTTCTCCAGTATGGCTTCCTTTTATAACTCTTGTTCTTCCTTCAGTTTTTGCCTATTCATAACCCTTTAGATGAAATAAAATTACTTCTTTTCGGCAATTTGATTTGTTTTAGAATTTCCCCATTTGGAGAAAGATTCCGAACGACTTGAAATCGGAATTGAATGTTTCATTTTTGTAATTCCATTTGGTTTTGAGGAAATTTAGGTTGCTAATGTTGTGAGTATATCTTATGAATGTGGATTAGCATGGTCGCATGATTCGATTTGTGTTAGGGTGTTTTTTTTTTGGTTTGGTTTTTTTTTTCAATCGTGTTCCCGGTTTCAGTTTAGTAGTTGAATTCAATTTTGAGGAAATTAAGGTTGCAAAATGTTGTGTCTATACTTTGTATCCCGCTACCGCTAATGTGAACCAGCCTAGTTGATTCTGGTTTGTTTTGGGGTTTTCGTGTTGAGTTTCATTTTCGAAGAATTGGATTTTAGATTCAAGACTTAATTTTTTGTTATGGGCTTTGATTTTCGGAAATTAAGCTTTGTTGAACATGGATTCGGAGGCTGCGAAAACTGCCCGGGAGTCTCTGGACCTGGCATTTCACATGTCGAATATACTCGAGATGGGGCTTGATCGCCACACCCTCTCCGTGCTCATTGCTCTCTGTGATTTGGGTCTCAACCCTGAGGCTTTGGTGGCTGTTGTCAAGGAACTCCAAAGAGAAACCTTGTCGTCGATGACACTGGCTCCTCCTCCTCCACCATCGTCGTAGACCTGAGCAGGTTTCTTCCTCTTATGTTTTGTGAAGTTTGTCTGTTTTCTTTTTACCTGCGACTTTCCGTCGTTGGACGATTGAAGTAGTGTAGGCATAGCAGATTGTTTATTGGTTTCCGTTGTCATATAAACAATCCATTTTGTTATCTGAAAAAGCAGGAAACGAAAATGTGCATTATGGGCACAAAGTTAAAAATTCTTAAGGAAGTTGTTCATGTAATGTGGAAATGTTATTATAATGGTGAAGATGTCATAGATGTTGTGTATTTTCTTGAAATAAAGTATTGCCTTTTTTGTGTGGTACTTTTGGATGAATTACAGTCGAATCGCATTTCTATTCTTTATGAGTAAATGATTTGCAATGATTTTAAACTTTCTAGTTAGAATTTGGTGCATCTATTCTGGTTGGATGTTATTCCGCATGATTATTTCACGCTTCCTCAGAAAAAGACATGCAAAATGGGGTTTATTTTCAATGCAATTCTGTTTTGACCTTTTTTTTTTTTTGTAAAAATTTATTTCATAGAACTCTTTCATAAATACAAAGTTTGAACAATGTGTTCAACTGTTTTCCTATTATTTGATTATCTGTTACGTTAGACATTCTGCTTTCAAATAATAGAAAATTAGAAGGTAAATTGAAATCAGTTAAATTCGTAGCGTGTGTTGCCTTCATAGAATGTAGACTGCCTTTACCAGGTTATGACTGTTGGGATCATAAAAACCTTACAGATTTGGGATGGAGAAAACACTTAATATTATTGGTGGAAAGAACATTTACAAGCAAGCTGGCGCCAAGTGTAGCTAACATTCGTGGGATATGAGATGACCACTGTACTTTATTTAGGGTAATCTTTGGAAATTTGATCTGTGTTTTTTTTTTTTTTTTTTTTTGTTTCTTCATCGCTCATGGTTGGTTGCAAATGTTGAATCCTTACTACTTTTCATCATGATATTATGGTCTTTGTATGGCTGTGTTAGGTGTAGAGAACACAAATATTTAGCACAATGATGGAATTCAAAAACTATGTGCTAGGAATTTTTTCTATACTCGAATATGTTCTGATTCTTGTTATGTTAGCAATTTCCTAAATTTTATTTGGATCTAGACTAACTTTATTAGTGGCACTGTGAACTTTATGTTTGTTTCTGTTGTTGCAATGTTTCATAAATGGTCTTGTTGTTGAGAGGGGAAGAAATAGTATGTTTTTTTTCAGAATGTTGTTTGGAAGGGTCTTGTTTGCATCATTTATGCCGTTAATTGCTTATGACTTGTGAGATATTTTTCCCGTTTTCTTTTGCGGACTTCCCGTCTTCTCCTTCTTTTTGTATTTTTTTTGTTTTATTTATTAATTTTATATGATTGAAGGAATCTATAGAAAATTATAAGCAAACACCTACTATGATATATTGAGTAAGGAGATTACGTGCAAGTGGAAACAGATGAACCAGTATAAATCAAATTGGAAGCATATAGAGCTCTCAGAGAAGGATGATAATGCTTTCAAGTACCGGAAGAAACCTGTAGAAGTTCCTTTTATTTTTAATAAGTTTTCTAATCTTAACCTCAAATAAAAGGAAAAGAAAAAGATGTCATTATTTCCTGGGAAGAGAATAGATTCTTGCAGAACCTTTGAGCTGAAGATTGGAATTTTAGAGAAGTGAAGAAATAATATAAGTTATAAGACTTAAGAATTTGAGTTAAAAAGTAAATTCATGTGAGAGAGAATACTGTAGTAGAAAAAGTTAAATTTAAATTTTTATAAGAGAAAATAATGTAATAAAAACTTGAGTTGTGATTCGAACTGGCGAAATGAACGGGGTCATTTATTTTAATGTTGCTTTTTGAGGTGTTCAAATAAGTAATATGTTAAGGTCTCGTTCGTATATTCGAATTTTTAATTTGAGTTGATATGTGATATTTTTTTGAGCTTTTAATTATAGCAGAAAAAATTAAATGTGACATTTTGAGAATTTTTAACTGTAAAAATTTAGAATTATAAAACTCGAATCGATAAAATGAATGAGATTTATCTTTACATTTCTCAAGTTGGCTGTGGAGCTTTAGATTATTATTTTGTAAGTGGAGATTCTAATTTAAGGTTACTTTCCTGATATCAAAGCTGTGGGAGAAAGCCTTTTTCTGATGGACGAGCAAGAAAACCAGGAGTGCCCTTAAGAATAAACAAAGAGGGGGTTAAATGTACAATAATATATATGAGTCTTAGCTGCCACTTTTGACCTTTGAGAAAAGCGGAAAGCACCTCAGATGACAATTATCAGCCACTGTGCTTGTCCTTGGCACATAATTGGCAAAAACTTTGACCCTTAGCAATAAGATAGGAGAAAAGTCACTGCCACTTTTCTTTTTTCTTTTTTTTTTATCCGTGATTGAAAGAGGGATATATTTATGGTGGAGAATGTTATTTTTCTCCATCCTTAAAAATGGTTCTTACCTTTTTTTTTTTTTTTTTTTTTTTTTTTCAGGTAATATCTAAAGCAATTGATTTGAGACCAGGGAAAACTCCCCCACTCACACGACATTTACCAAAAACTGCTTTGCTTATGGGAGAAAATCATCGCGTCTATGTTTGTTTCAACAATTTAAATTGTTATTTAAGATTTAAATTTTAGTTCAGGATTTAAACTGATTTTTATGAAAAGAAAATTTAAAAACAATTTAAACCATTAATAATGGTTCAACAATTTAAATTGTTAATTTTAGAATACGTGGCTTTTTAAATTTTATCAATCTGAATTGTCAAGAGTCTAATAGTTTCATAGTCTATTGTTTCTCTCTCTTCAATTTTAATTTTAAAAATATTATAATTTATTCGTTTTAATTATGATTGAGATGATTTTTTAATGTGTTATTAATGAAGAGATGAACAAATTCTCACTCATATTGTATATTTTTTAATGTTATTTATAATGAAGTTTTATAAGATTTGTTACAAAATTTTAATGATAATTTTTAACACTTTATTTAAATATAGTTTGAATTTTATTCTCAATTTAAATTATAATATATTTACATATTCAAATAACAACTCAGATCACAGTTTAAATCATCATAATTTAAATTTTACAGTTCTAATTATAAGAGTTCAAATCTCTCCAATTTAAATTGTTGAACCCTCGTTCGTTTCATTATCAGGGTCATATTAAAATAGAGCAGTTCACCATCCACATTAACTAATCCATCACAAAGTTTAGGTTTAGAAAAACAAGGGGCAGGAATTCCTTTTGCTTTTGGCTTATTTCAAGGACCTAGAAACCACGTTTGTCGGACTAAATGTAAAGTTGTTTTTATTAACTTGGTTGTACTCGTAGAATGGGCTGCAGAAGGCTGGTTTCACACGTGTCTTTTGACTCTTCTTTGAGGTCTTTTAGGAAGTGTTTGGTGTGAGGATTCCTGTTATGGTTCAAATTATAATTTTTAATTCGTTATAGTATTTTTTCTCATAAAAAATACACGTAAATTGAGAATAATTTTGAATCATGGTTCTGAATTCATAAACTAAACGTTCACTTATTGCTGACTTAAAAGTAATCAAATGGTTTGGATAGAAATTTAAAATTTTTATAGAAAAAAACACTGTACTAGTACCATTTGAATTAGGATTTGAACTCTTTTATCAAACATGCTCTAAGAAAGTTAGTTCTGCATTAAAATATCAGTTCTACAATTCGAAGAGGCTAGAGTAAGAATATATGTAAACTAATATGTATATGGATGCACACATCTTATAACTAAAGCAGTTATTTGCATAATTATTTAAAGCTTTTCCTTCTTAATTAACCCTTGTTTTATATACTTTTACTGCTGTGATCCACACCTAAAAGCCAACCACTCCCCAAGAAAAAAAAAAACGACAAAATCCAAACCACTACACTTGCTAAAGTTGTACTGTGATCCATTAATCTTGGTGGATAAGATTATATTTAAGTGGGGGCGCTGGGTTCTTTAGTGTTTGATCAGCCAAGAAATGTCTCTCTGTTATAACCAAGGTAAATATAGAGAGAAAATGGAGACAAAAGCCAAAATAGAAATTATCTCAAGAAAGGCCATTAATCCGTTCTCCCCAACTTCTCCTCAGTGTAGAAATCTCAAATTCTCTCTTCTGGACCAAATAGTTCCCCCCCGGTACACATCTATTATTTTGTTCTACACTGCAAATACTAACCAGAACATTGATTCTTCTTCCACAGCACATTCGGAAATCTCCAACTCCTTACAAAAATCACTGTCCAAAACTTTAGTACACTTCTATCCATTTGCGGGTCGGCTAAAAGACAACACCTGCATCGAGTGCAGCGATGAGGGAGCTTATTTCATAGAAGCCCGGATCAATTGCCAGCTCTCTGAGTTCATCAAGGAACCCGATCCAAACTTTCTTAGCCACCTTCTTCCCACTAGTGATCCTAAAGGTGCTGAGTTAGTCGGGAGAGTAGTTTTGCTCATTCAACTGACGGTTTTCAAATGCGGAGGAACTGCTGTTTCTGTTTGCGCCTCTCATAAGATTGCAGATGCATCATCTATGTGTGAATTCATCAAGAGCTGGGCAGCCATGGCTCGTGATCATGATGAAGTTGTGCATCCAGAATTCATCGGAGCGTCTATGATGCGGCCCACGACGGATCCGTCTATCGAGGGCAGGTTAGAAGCCCCAGGTGAAAGTTTCGTCACGAAGAGGTTCGTGTTTGATGTCTCAAAGTTAGCCAATCTCAAAGCGAAAATTGGCAGTGGAGTTCCACAACTTGTCCCCACAAATGTTGAACTAGTTTCTGCAATTTTCTTGAGATGTGCTATCGCAGCTTGTCAATCCACAACAGGGTGCTTAAAACCGTCGCTATTATACCAAACTGTGAACTTGCGCACGAGAATGGTGCCGCCAGTGCCAGAAGCTGCCATCGGAAATCTCATTTGGGGTTTCCCCGTGGTAGTCGAAGAGGCAAGTAAGATGGAAGTTGGCGATATTGTGGTTAAGATGAGGAAAGGATTGATAGATTTTTGCAATGAGAAGGCGAATAGATTCAAAGGCGAAGATGGATATTCATTTGTTTTCGAGTCATTTAAAGTCGGAGAATCTTTGAAGATGGGTATGAATATGTATTTTTGTAGTAGTTGGTGCAAGTTTCCATTCTATGAAGTGGACTTTGGGTGGGGGAAGCCAACATGGATTACGTGTCCAATGTACTCCATGAACGCAATTACGTTGATGGATACAAAAAGAGGGGAGAGAATTGAAGCTTGGGTAACCTTAGAAAAACAAGAAATGGCCATGTTTGAAACCAACGAGGAGCTTCTTGCTTTTGCTTCAATAAACCCTAGTCTCATAACTTAATGGCACAAGTGCCAAGTATAGCCAAGGAGTGAAATTCATATATATGTGTGTGTGTGTGTATTTTGCGTGCCACTAATGGTCTTTGCTTAGGGTTATTCGTAAGAGAGAAAAATGATGTGCAGAATCATGTATCAAAAAAGAAGTAAGCGTGGAACGGCCAATTCAAAGATGTCGGAAAATTAGGTACAAAGGGTAGACTAAGTGGATAATGCGGACTATATAAAATAATGTCTTATGTGATGCAATGATTGATGTATGTCAGTTTACCATGGCCACTACGAGTACAACTACCGGCACCCAGTATTCTCCGATGTTATAATATTGGGATTTTTATGATATTATGCTAACTATTATGTATCTTTTTTTTTTTTAGTGTTTGTAATACAGTAAAAATCCTATAACTTATTAATTTGTGATAAATTAATAATCAACGATAAAATAATATTTTTTATCGGTCTCGATTAGGCCAACAGGTTAAATTAGAGGTTTCTCTATATCCCATTAATAATATGAATTTAGTAAATTGTAAATATGAAATACATATTACATGGAGGATGATGCTTTAAAAATGACTTGAGTGTTGTTTGCTTTGCCTTAAAATATGAACATTGGATATATGTTGAAGGTTACCGTTGCAATAGAAGTTGTCGAACCTCGCTGGCGTGATCACATTTGGATTTGATACGTTAAAACAAGCAGCTATTGTATAAGTCAAATCTACTTCTTCAAGAACTTAATTTGAATGCCCTTTCGGCTTGATTTCGTTTAATAGAATCTATGTACACTTTTAACTGCTCTTTAGAAAATGTGACAAATTGAGGGAAGATGTACCTATATTCGTGACCAAGGCACGGAGAAATGTAGCCACAAAAGCTCTAGTGAGTTCCGCCCCTGGACATTGTTTAAATCCTCGACCAAATGGCATGAAATTCTTCAATATAACATCCGACTCAAGATCCAATTTCCGTAAAAAATGTCAAAACTAAAATTAGGTTCCTAAAACTTTTTTTTTTTTTATTTGGTCCAATGAAACTGAAAATTCATTACAACTTTGGAAAAAAAAGAAGATATTTTACATATTTGCCCCTTAAACTTGTATGTCTAGCAATTTATCCTCTAAACTTTTCATCTTGACAAGTTGGCCTCTTAACTTATAAATTTTTTTCAATATGCCACGTTTTACCGATGATTGTGTTAAATAAGTGTCGAAAAAACACGTTCGACAAAAAGTTCTGACATCCCAATTCAAATGAAACATAAAACCTATTGGATTGACTATATCCATGAAAGCTGAGATAGAACCAATGGATTCTAATCAAGTCTTGAAACTTATAGATCTTCTTGATGGGATATAACCTATTGGGTGTAAGTGAGTTTATAAGTGGAAGAGAAACACAGATACAAAAGGTAAAAACCCATAAGGCTAGACTGGTAGTTAAGAGATACACGCAAAAGGAGAGAATCGATTACAAGGAAAACTTTTCGTCTATAACCATGCCTGCGTCCATCCACATTATCTTATCTATTGCAACTGTTCTCAATTATGAGATGCGGCAAATAGATGTTAAGATGACGTTCTTAAATTGTCATCTTGAAGAAAGTATCTATATGGTATATCTATAAGGCTTTGAATCTAAAGATCAAGAGGATAAGGTTTGTAAGTTGTTAAAACATATTTATAGATTAAAGTAAGTTTCCCGTTTTCGGAACAAAAAAATTTAACTAAGTGGTCAAAACTTTTGGATTCCAACAAAATATAGATGGACCTTCTTTTTATAAGCATATTATGTTGGGAAAAGGGCAATCAGTGGAATTTTAAATTTTTTATTGAATACCAAAATCATGTAGGACATGTTTATTATGCTATATAACATAAATAATAAAAATCTAAATCATATCTTTGGAGAATTCACATCTAACAAATCAAAACATTCTAAATAGCAAAGACTGGAACAACAATATCCGAATATTAACCAACATCATATTTATATTCATACATTCATATAAGCACAAGAGAATATTATGAGCAAAAATAAAAACAAAACAGAAAAGCAAAAGGAAAAAAAAAAAAAAAAAGCAATATTGAGCTTCTCTCTCTTTCTCTCTCCTACATTTTTTTTCCTCTTCTTTTACTCGTTCATCCCATCTCTGAAAACGTATTTCTTTAAGAATGTATTCTTAAAACACGTATTTCTTATGGTAGAGCATGAAATCTACAATTAGAGAAATTAAGGGTCAATGACCGAGTTAGGAGGCGTCGATTAGTGATGTTGATCTGTTGCGAGAACGAGAGCATTAGTAAACATGAAAGTAAAAAAAAAAACAGTAAAAACACACATAAATTTATAGTAGTTCTCCTAATAATTTAAAGTAAAGAATTTTTTTTTGTTTTTTTTTTTGTTTTTGGCTAATGACTAACAACCACCAATCCAAAACACACACACACACACATATATATATATATATTTATAACAAGAAAGCAAAAGATACGAACGAAAAGAAAGAACTTATTGTTATTTCACTAATTACTTGTTACTTCTTTTGACGATTCCTCGACAATAGTACCAAAAACTTATTGTTATTTTACTAATTACTCGCAAGGGTACTAATCAATTATAATAGACATACAGACTGAGGTCGATCTCACAGAGAATGCTTAAAAGAAGATAAAACTCACGCAAATATTAACTAATCCAAAGTAATTAAACTCTAACCTAGTTTCAATAAATTTGATAGAGAAAAAGGTAAGATTGGGAATTTTAATAGATAAAAGAAATATAATTATAAGTAAAATCAGGTTATAAAGTCTACAGTAAAAACTCTCACATAAATTATTAAGGTTTGAGAACCACCAATATTCAACTAATATCTCTACCGTATATTGATTCCAGTATTTTGAGTGATAGTGTAGAAGTCAATCTTACTATCTACTGCAGAAGCATCTTTTGTAGTTTTTCCTTCGCTTAAAAATGTATACAATTTAATGGAAAACATATAATTAAACAGCTTCACTTTTATAAATGACCACAAAGCAACAGTGAATTTATAACAATCAAGAATACATGATATTAATAATGAAATAACATTCACAAAATGAAGCGAAAATCATAAACGTATTTTGGGCCTGTTTGTTTGTGTTTTCATTTTCATTTTTCACGGTTTTCAAAGCAAAAAAATGAAAACGGGTGTTAAAAACATGTTTGGTGCAAATTTTTTTTAAAAACAAAACCAAAAACGTTTTTGTCTTTTTGTGGAAATCAGAAAACAAAAAAAAGGTGTTTTCATTTTCTCGTTTTCGTTTTCTATTTTTTGAAAACGGATTTCACTTTTTTTTTTTTTTTCATTTTCTTCCCTCTTTTCTGAAACCGTTTTTGTATTATATATGTTTATTTAATATAATATATTTAATAATGTTATTTATTTAATATATTATTATTTAATATATTTAATAATGTTATTTATTTAATGTATTATTATTTAATATATTTAATAATAT